ACACACACACACACACACACACACAGTTGTAAGGTTCTGCCGGTTCCTCAGAGTGAGAACTTGTTGTTGTCAGTATTATTTCAGTGAACAATGAAATCTCATGAATTACACGACTTCCCATTCAATTTACAAATTACTACAATCTGAAGAATTAAAAAAAACAGAATGACTGAGTTAAAAAAAGCTGAGTTGAAATCAAGTGCAACAGTTTGTATTTATTTATCAAACTAAAAATATATTTCTGATTGGACAGACTGTGTATGCTGTTTTAATGATGAACATCTCCGCGAGCAATTCATATCACATGTGCTCTCTTTTGTTCTCAGAGAATAATTCATGGATCTTGATGTAAAAGTTTAGGGGACAGATATTTAAGAGGTTGGTGCAGATCTGGCTCATATCTGTATTCTAGACAGATTAGTCGATTAAACCCCTTCACCTGATTTTAAACCAGATCATCCTTCACCTGACTGCAACCTTCATGCACAGCCTCATATTCACACCGTGGTTGAATCTATGTCTGAGCAGAGGTGTTTGGTGTTCTCTAATTTAAGATCTACAATCTCACATCCTTTATTCAGGGTCTGATCTGTTGATGCTTGAGCGACACGTTGATTTTTCCCGTTGGTTATTATGTGCAAATGAAACATGTTAAAGCTGACAGATGCTCACAGGCTCTTTATCCTGATTAATAAGAAAACTGTGCTAAGGCTGATTAATGAGCTACTCAGATGACAGGGATTGAGCCGGGCAGCGGATCAGTAGCTCCACGTCCTGGAGCCGCTCTGCCTCACATCCCTGTCTCGGGGGGTCGGTCGTGTCTCGGCCTGGCTGGAGGTCAGGGGGATCACCTATAGGTGCTGCCACGTCCATTTTAATTGCACGGGTATTAGCTGGTGGGACATCGCCGCAGCTTTGTGCCTCAACATGTCGCCCCGGACCAAATGTCCAGCCACATGTTCTGCCAGTTTACAAACCTGAAGCCCACAAGTTCTCAGCTGATGTCTGAGTTTGTTCTGGTGAAACATTTGCTCTCCTCCTCCTGAGGCCCGGCTCCATCTCCATCAGACCTATTAAATGACCTATCCTCTCTTGTTTGCTCACTGCAGTTATCCTGGCAGTCAATGTATCCTCAGGCTAAGCCAAACAAGCTGATCAGCCAGTCACCTCTGTACACACAACCCCCCACTAAGAGGCTAATGGCCGGGATGTATAATCCTTCTCAAAACAACTACAGAGATGCTAATTGTATCTTGCTATAAATACAGGTTGACTCCTTGTCCTCCTCCTTTATTCGCCTGCTCCCTCGGGCCCCAGCTTCTCTGAAACACTTGTCCAGATACCAGGAAAGACCGAGTTGCATAAGAGGAGCAGCAGATAGATGCTGCAGGTGTCAATAAAGTAAAGTGGAGAGAGCGCGCGGACCTTTACGCACGGTTGGATACATCGATCCATGCGAACACTTCACAGCTTTTTCTGTGAGCGAGCGACAGCGACAAGGAGACATGTTCCCGTTGCCGATGTTCACACCGGACCAGGTCGCCCGGGTGTGCGAGAACTTGGAGGAGACCGGGGACATCGAGCGCCTCGGCCGGTTCCTCTGGTCCCTGCCCGCCGCGGTTCCAGGCTCCGCCGGGGAAGCGCTGAACCGACACGAGTCGGTGATGCGAGCCAGAGCTCTGGTGGCTTTCCACGGGGGGAACTTTGAGGCTCTGTACCAGATCCTCCAGAGCCACAGGTTTACGCGCGAGTCTCACGCCAAGCTCCAGGACCTGTGGCTGGACGCGCACTACCGAGAGGCGGAGAGGCTGCGCGGGCGGCCGCTGGGCCCGGTGGAGAAGTACCGGATCCGCAAGAAGTTCCCTCTGCCCCGCACCATCTGGGACGGCGAGCAGAAGACGCACTGCTTCAAGGTAAAAGACCCGAGACTCACGAGGGGAGTGTGAGACTGGAGGGACCACGTGTCCCCAAAACACAGAAAATCACTGATCTGACCAGAGGGTTTAAGTTTCATCTTCATTTTGAGATCCTGACCCTGAGATGATCCAGATGATGAACCTCTGAACTCCTGGTTCCAGACCAGAGGTCTCACACAGTTATACAAACTGATTCATGATTCCACATCAGATCAGCTGTTCATTATGTTCACAGCTTCTGAATTACTTCACCAACTCGACCTATATCAACCTGCTCATCATAAACACTCTTCTATGGAACTGACACTTCAGAATCTCGTTCTCTTCTGCTTTATTATTTTAGATGTTGTCGACAGGCCTCGTTCCCTCTCAGGATTCATTAGTTCATCTTTAATCTGCAGCCGCTCGTTTCCAAACACCAACATTGTCGGTGCATCTCCTGCAGTCAACTGCAGTGTGACGCAGACAGACGTTTAGGAGCCATGAATGTTTTATCAGTTTATTCTCCAAAGGTTCTTCTGTCACCGTCGCTAACAGACACTGAGACAGAGCGTCTGAATGAGGTGTCCTCAGACTGTTGGAGGCTCCTCTGGAAGCCAACTGACAGTTGTTTTGTCCTGAAAGTTACGATAAAGTTCAAATTAGCCACAAACTAAGATTTAACTCAACTGCTCTTTGCTTCTTCAGTGCATTTGTGTGCTTCCTCTCCCTCTGGTGGTGGGGCAGAGTATTGCTCATAGATCAACTTAATCTCCTGACTCCAGCCCTCAGAAGCTCATTAACATGATCCAATTGACTGGATGTGTATA